CCCCAAAACCCCAAAACCCCAAAACCCCAAAACCCCAATTTTTAATAATATTTAAGAACTAATTATTTATCGAAAAGCTCCATCTACTGTTCAAGTCCAGCATGCTTAGTGGGTTATTGTGGCCCGAAAAGAATTTATTACAATTCTCTCCTCTAACAGAATGATTGTCAAGCTTATCGTAAGTTCCTCCCTCCATCATATCTCTGGTGATGAGTACCTTCGATTCTTTAGTGTTCTCAAAGCCATCTCTACAGTTAGTAATTGTATCACTGAAAAGCTGTTTGCGGGGCTGTATCTGCTTTTTCAAGTTAATTATTTCCTTATTCTTCTCTTCTAACATGTACTGAAGCATAGAGATCTGATCTTCCGTGTTTATATTTTCTAAAAATTAGAGTGGAAACACTTACCCTTTTCATCGGATGACTCTGGCCCATACTCATAAGGTGCATTCCCCATCTGTTCGTCAAAGATGCTAGATTTGCTAGAAGAAATAGACTGGCAATTTATCAGCCTAAATTTTGATGCTTCATTAATGTGTCTGCCCAAAGTCTCTCTTTCTGCTCTAGAACTTAATGTGTTCTGCAGAGAGACAGGAATGCTCTTCTCTTCTTCTGGATCGATCTTGAACCTTTCGCCAAAGGAGTGTGGGTTAAGCATTAGAGACATCTTATTTAATTCTTGTCTTTCTGTCTCTACCCAAACTATTTGTGAACGAGCTGTAGTCTCTCCTTGTGGCCTTGCAGCTATTTTTCTTTGAGAAGTAGGCAGAATGTTTCTTCTTAGACCTTTTCTCACTTTTGTATAAACTCTGGAAATAAAGTTCAGGTTCCTGGAAATCCCTTGTGAACAAACTAATACGATTTTTGTTAAAGTCATTATCTAAATTCAAGTTCTTGTTTCTGCCCAGTTTAGGATTCTCAAAGTCATGTGATTGTGCTCTTAACGATCCAGTTGGGTGCCATGCTCCAATTTTTACGAGATTTGTAAGATTTTTCTCTCCTAGAGGACTCTCATTTTGATCCTTTAGCTCCTTCATAACCAAAGTTTGAATAAAGTCAACTTTTTGATAAATTTTTATAATTTTAGAGTCCTCTGATCCCTCAACTCCCTCTAAATGAGCTATTTCTACCTTTTGGTTGGCTTCACAGCAATGGAAGGAAGATGAATCGGCTTTGATATTTGTTGAGTTCTTATTCTTCTGGTTAGCCAGGGCAGGTGATTCCTCATTTATCGCCTATTTAAAGTTATTAGGCAATTTACCAATCAGTGTCAAACAAGAGACTGAATGTCTCTAGACGAATTGTTCTGCTCCTTCTTCAGACTTTCTTGGACTCGGGTTTTCTTGTCCAACAAAGTAGCTCTCTGCCTAATATGTTCTTTATGAGGTTTTGATACAAGCATTGTGAAGATTTTTAATCCGTTATATTGCTGGCTACTTCTCTCAGCGTAAAACACAAATCTGTAATTATTGATAACTACCTCATCAGACACTCATTGTAATAGATCAATTTGGTCTGTAATCCTCCATTTTATCATCTGATTCTCTAAGATTGAGACAGTTGAGATTTTCCGTTTTTGTTCCAAATTGATGAGATACAGTAAAGAAGAAGTCTAGAATATTATGGAGAATTCCTTACCGGAGGACTTCGAAGACGCTTTAAAAGATTTAGACAAGCATTTTGTAAGCTTTTATTTTGATAATTCGATTCAACACACCTCTTCATTCCTTTTTCGATAATTGTTTCGAGAACTAAAGGCTTGGAGTCAAGAAGAGCCATTAACCGTTGGTTAGTAGATTCTTCATTGCATAATTTGTCTAAATGCTCACTCATGTAGTTTAAACAGAAGCTGAATAAATCCATCCAATTTGAATAAGTATCTCTACTTTTATCCATTTTCATTGATTCAACTAGAAATGTTACCACTCTATCGGGTTTCATATGAGGTTTGATATGATGGGATATCAATCATCTCATAAATTCAGAAGAGTTGTAATACTCGCCAACCGCTAAGCACTGACTAGCAGTATCAATACTAACTGAAGCTGGAAGTTGCTGGGTCTCTAAATATCTTGTAAAAATAGCTAGAGCATCTTGGTTCATCCTTTCTCTATGAGGTCTTACTTGACTCATTTTTTAATTTAACTGTTAACAATTAATGCATCTAAGAAAGGGGTTTTGGGGTTTTGGGGTTTTGGGG